AAACGGCTTCGGCTTCGTTGCGGCAGAGATGGGGATGGCAGCTGCCATCGAATCTGCCAAGACTTTCGGCATCGGCATGGCAAGTGTGTCGCATTCCAACCACTTTGGCATGAGTGCGTGGGTGGTGCAGCAGGCTCTTGATGCGGACATGATGAGTTTGGTGTTCACCAACTCGAGTCCTGCGCTCCCGGCGTGGGGCGGGCAGAGCAAGCTCATGGGTGTTTCGCCGATTGCTTGTGGTGCGCCGGGGAAGGACAAGCCTTTCATCCTAGACATGGCCCCGTCAGTCGCAGCCAGGGGCAAGATTTACAAGGCCAAGAGACGCGGCGAAAAGATTCCTCTTGACTGGGCGCTAGATGCTGAGGGACGTCCTACGGATGATCCCACCGCAGCATTGGGAGGTGTCATGCTACCGATGGGTGGTCCTAAGGGTTCGGCATTAGCAATCATGATGGATGTGTTCTCTGGTGTCTTCTCTGGCTCTGCTTTCGCTGGTCACGTCACTAACCCGTACGACCCCTCAAAACCAGCGGACGTCGGCCACTTCCTAGTCGCCATCAAGCCAGACCTCTTTATGAGTCTGGACGACTTCCGTGAAAGGATGGACTATTTGTACCAGCGTGTTGTTGGGTCAGATAAGGCGGCAGGAGTAGACAGGATATACTTTCCGGGTGAGATTGAGCAGTTGCAACAGCAGGAGCGGGAAAAGTCAGGCATACCCTTGGTACAGGCTGAGATTGATGCCCTCAACGAGGAGGCAACAAAAGTTGGCGCCAAGCCATTGGTAACCCAGGTAGCTGCATGAACTATATCGCTTTACGCCACTCTTAGGAAAGCACTCCATGTTTCATCGAATCGCTGTCATTCTTCGAACGGGGTCTAGCGAGGCCTTTTTTTTTGGTCATGGCTTCCAGTCAGAATGGAACTGGATGACATTTCAGGGAAGTTTGTCCTTGGCCTAAGGTGATCTTGAGACGCCTAGTAATGGCAGTTGACCAGGCTGAAGTGCCGAGACCAGCAAACTTCCTTGTGTTCAAGTCATCATCACCTCATACGTATTCTATTTGGCATTCAATATTGAGGAGAGAAAGGTAGAGATGATCGTAGATTCAATCTATAACTCTAAAATTGACGATACTCAGAAGAGTATCCTGGCGGTCACTGGTACGAGCGGTGTTTTTTATATTTTTCCCAAGGCCATAGATACCCTCTTCCATATTCCTCCAAGATCAATCGATCCAACGTATGGACATCAAGTACCTGAGATTGCTTTGGTGAGTTACGCGTGGCTCCTTCTTACTTTCTACAAGACAAGTTCCCATTCTTACAGACTTGGCAGGAGAGTCAGCTCGGCCCCTTTCCTGGAAAACCGAATCTTTAACCACGCCTTCCCTTCTTCGCCAAAACTTTTGTTTGAAGAAGTGACACTCAATTCGCAGCGGAAACTTCTTTCCAAAATGTAGCTGCCGCAAAACAGACTGTTGATGTACTCGGGGACTTTTGGTAAACCAGACCTCGATTCTTCCCACGTCATCTCACTCCCAGATAACATCATCTACGCCTACCATCCATCCCAAGTTCAATCCAATCAACACCCATTCATTCTATCGTTCTTTTCTTGGGTTCCCCATCATCACCAATATTCATCATGAAGTTCACCACTATCGCTACGTCTCCGCTGTTGCTTGGCTCAGCTTCACTCGCCACCGCAGTGTCTCCTTCTGTACCACTGGATCAGGCTATTCCCCGAGGCATCTCCAGCATCAACCTTCAAGGCACCGACGTCGATCAGAAGAACGATGGTCGTCTTTGTTTCACCCTTGGTACTTTCGACTCTCATTTCGGCGAGTATGATGTATCTCTGGTCGATGAATCTGTCGACGGGCATCTAGCCAATGGCTTCTGCTACAATCATGCTACCAAAGTCGTCCAAGACAGCCAAGGGAATGATTGTGTCTTCGACGATACAGTCAGCAACCTCAGTTGCTCTGCCGAATCTCCTAAGACCAAATTTGACCTGACCGTTCGCCAACCACCAGCCGTCGATTACTCCAAGATATCGGTACGCCCTAAAATGACGCCGTGTACCTCTCTGTTGAGAGCCGTATGCTTGGAAAAGGTGAAAGCCCAGTGCGCTTGGTGCTCTCATCACACTACGGATCCTGAATGTCACAAAGCTACCTTCTGTCCATGTCGTTTGAGTCCCAAATACGGCCTCTCCAGCTCGCCCTCGCCCTCTCCCACTCCGGTATACGATGGAAGCCGGTGCACAGGAGGCAAGCCTTTCCTCCCTGCTTGGCACCAGTATTTGAGATGGTGTCGAGATCACCCCGAGTCGATCAGATGCCCCTATCTGCCGTGGACTTTGAATTCAAAGACAATTCATTCAGACAACGCATTCAACAATGCCATTGGCTTCATCTGGTGTAATCTCCTTGGTCGGTGTCAACATTCCGATATTTCCGCAATAACGCCACCAAAGACCGTCCAAGTAATTCAAAACGCCCTGGAACACGTCTGCACGAGGTATCCGCCCACGTGTCCCTTCATCCCTCCTGTCATGGAGGTCGTCCTATCTTCCATGGAAGTCATTGCCGACGTCTCAAGGCTAGCCACAGCTTTCTTCACCGGCCATGGTCTTGAGGACTACAGTCGCCCAGCCTTGCCAAAATCTTCCGAGACCAGCCACGGCGCCCCCGCTCGCATCGGGCATTCAGACAGCCAAGGCAGTCTTAGTGTTGTCGACAATGCCCTCCGTTCAGCTACTCTGGAGTTCATCTGCGAGGAGCTCTGCAGCCCCTTGTGCGATCACATTCCCTCAATTATGAGGATTGTTGATTCGATATTGAGGGGCAATGCGGACCTACAGGAACTTACCAATGCATTGCAGTATTACCTTGCTAGAATCACCCCAGCTGACGTCCAGACCCTGACAGAAGGAGCTGAGGATATCTACGACATCTTCGTCGCCACGCCTTCAAAACTGGAGAATCTGATTGACGCTATCAAAACCGATTTGGGAACGCTCGGCCTTGACGGCACTTGGAGACTGCTCCGAGCTGGTCTATCCATTTACTTCCGTCTCTCTCCGTCGGACGAACACAATCTACTTCGAACACTTGGAGACATCATTACCCGTTTTGATGCCTCCGGTGCTTCGAGCTAGACCATAGGAACTTGATGTGAAGGGTATCCAAGGGTTTGCGGGAGTTTGACGATACGATCAATAGACAAGAGAGCGATTAGTACACGCACTACACAGATCACAATGTTGCATCGGTTGGTGGAAGTCTCAGTGATCCAGGGTACATTGATCATGAGCGACCGGTTGAAGGACTACACGCGAATGGTGACTGGGGATGAGCAGTATAGCTAGCTACCTAAGTCAATTGATAAGAGCATCGCTTACGCCCAACATGAATGAATGCACCTCAAATGCAATTGTGACACGACCAAACCTCCGACCGGTAGCAAACATTATAGCACTATAGGTTGACACATCGGATCGTAGACTAGTAATCGGATGGCTGGGCCAACGCCTGGGCGCTTGCCTGTTCGATGAATCACTTGGTAAAAGTTCCGAAAATGTGTGGTACTACTTGGAACCATGTCTCATCATGAGGTTGGCGAATGTCAATATTTGTCCATGGCCCTGCAGACCTAAGGTTGTTACCAGTGTTGCGGCACAGCTGGCAGCCGTTCAAAGCCCGCGGCCAAACCAGATTGACGATACCTAACATAATTAGCATCGATGTCGACCCGTTCAGTCGCGCTCCTTGTGGTTGACTTACGCTGATAGAGACGGATGGGACGGCTCTGCATCACCTCTACGTGTTCGTACAAATACCACCTGCCCCCTTTCTTGAGATAGGAGTAGAGCTCGGCAATGTTCTTCTCGGGCTCGGGGATGCTGCAGAGGCAGAGAATGGAAACAATGCAGTCGACGCTGCCCTTTTCAATCTTGCCGTTCCACGCCGTGGGGTCGGAGAGAGACTCGATGCCGGTGGGGACGATCTCGTAGGTGCCCTCGAGCCCGGCGGCCTGGACATTCTTCCTCAGTGCGGGGTGCGCCTCGGTATTGGGCTCGATGCCGTAGACTCTCGTCACGCCCTCCGCGACGCGCCTTCTGACGCCGCCGCGCGCCATACCAGCCCCTGCGTCGGCAGCCTTCTTCTTCTCGTCGCCGTCGCGGCCCTTGGCGAAGATGTCCACCCACATCCCGGACCCGGGCCCGATCTCCAGCACGACACCGCTGACGGGCGGGTGGACGGGCTCTTCTACGACCTTGCCGTCCGTGACGCGGCCCTCAAGGAGGGCGACCATCATGTCCGACCTGCCCACGCGGATGTTGGGGCCGAGCCAGGCCCAAAAGGCGGAGAACCAGGCGTCTTGGACGCGGGACGGGGTCGTAAGGGCTGCGTAGTCGCCTTCGCGGAAGAGGCGGAGGATGGTGGGGGGGAGGTAGGAGAAGGCGTTTAGGAGGAACATCCAGGGGCCTACGAGGGCCCAGAAGATTGCGGTTGCTTCTGTTAGGGAAGACATGACTTTTACCCCTCGATCCGGAGAGAGAGTGTGGGTGAGAGAGAATGAGGAGTGCCTATGGTATGTTAGAAATGGAAAGTGAGAGGGGGCATGAGCTCAGGGGCTCGGGGGAGCTTACAGACTGAACAACAGGTTATATACACAGTTAGAGGAACGAAATACCCGAGGGGCCTGGAAAGTGGTGTGTCCCGGCGAGGGCTGGCCGGTTTATAAGTGGGAGCTTCGCGCAAGGAACGGCCGAAATGCCGGGGGACTTAGAAAAGAGGTATTGCAGATAGTGAAGTGGGTATATGCATCTATCGACTACAGTGACGAGCTGTCGATGCCATTATCGTACATAGCAACCCCACCAACCCCACCATGCTCCCCTCGGCGTCTAAATCTAGACAGCTTCCTTTGACAGCTATCTCTGTCTCTTCTCTGTCTCTCTCTTTTTTCTTTCCTACTCTTCTTGTTTCATGTCTCATCTGTACATCTATTGCGTCCCCAAGCCTTTCTCGTCTCGCGCTCACACGACTTTAATAGTGCCTTCAACAGCGCTTCATATCCTCCGAACACTTCCACCCGTCTTCGCTCATTCGGCTAGTCCTGTTGGTTCCTTATCTACGTCTCGCGAAATGCTGACATCGTGCCTGACAGCCCTGGTCCTCCAACGTCATGCAAGCTAGGGGGTCCCGTTCACGACGATTGGCCAGTTTGCGTCCATCCCGCTTCCCACGCCTTCAAGGAGCGTTGCGTCTGCTGGCGACTGCTCGAACCCGTCCGCGTTGACGAGGTGCCGTTCCCAATGGAGACAAGTCTCTCGGGCAGCTCCATCGGGCTTCGAAGATACCTGTCCATCTGAGGCGCTGGCGCCGTGTAATAGACACCGGCCCTACACACACACACCAACCCACCGAACCGTCAGCATTCATAATCCTGCGGCCACACTGATCAGGGCCAGAGAGGCAAAGAGGCAAAAGCTTACCCGCCATTTGAGGTGGTGGTACCAGACGGTGCGGATCGTTGAGACATCGTGGGGAAGAAAAGGGGTAAGAGACTATTGGTATTTGGTTTGATTGATTTCTTGCAGGTTGCAATGCACGACTACAGTTGTACGAGGATGAATGTTCGCGATAGTATCTACGAGATGCCTCAGATCGCAGCACGGAACAGCTTCAATACATATAGGGAACCTGAGGATGCCATTTCAACCGTCGACCTGCGCGGTTGGCCAGCAGCAAGTTCTGCTCAATTGAGGGAATCGCAAAGGCACGGATGCGCTGTTTAGCCTACGGTTGGCCTCAGTGAGGCTTTCCAGATCTCTCATGAATCTCAGTTGATAAATCGTGGGGAAGGGGAAAGAACACCTCGCGCATCATCTGCGCGACGCTGCGCAATCCTTCAGTCTCGCAGACTACCATCTTTGAGTCGTGTCCAAAGGAGCGAAAGGATATTTTCGGTCACCATGATCGTCATCATTGGCTACACCTGCATACGATTGCCTAGATTTTGGTGCGGATCGTCGACCCCCCTGGCATGGCGCAGCCTGCATACTTGAACAACAGCGCAAATGCGCTCTTTCGAATTGTCGCTGTGGCTTTAGTTCGAGGGCATTTCAGAGCCTGCTCTCCCCCCTCCTTTCTCCCTCTCTCATTCTTCTCGTTGTTTCTGACGCCTTTTTTCCACATTTTTCTGCTTCGCAATTGCGGATTTCCCATCGGTACTTGCAATTTTTGACATTTCCTTTCTGGGCAGCATGGGACATAAGACAATTGCAAGCAGCCGTATGACCAGGCTTGATGCAACACAAGTACACGATGGTGTTGCATCATCGAGGCCATCCGCTGTCGCATCAGCAAGGGTCGATGAGGCCTCCAGAGACCTTGCATATCAATTCCTTCACATGAATCGCTCATCCCGCCGCGCATCCATCGTCAACCACAACACCGAAGTTTCCGAGATGCCTTCACCTTGTGCAGTCTCCTTTGAGCGTCCGCTTTCTTGGACCTTCGACACTCCGCTGCAATCTGGAGACCGGCGTCACTCGTCCTTTGAATCGGAAAACATGCCTAGCCTGGCATATCGTGTCAAACCACAACAACCACAGCCACATAACCCGAGGAAACACCAGAGGGGAAGCCCGTCAGTTGACAGCTTGGAAGAGCGGCCGGGTTCGACAGAGGAGAGACACTGCAAGAGGATCTCGGGTGATTCCGGCTATGGGTCGGATACGCGGCGACGAAGTCGTGACAGGAGCGGAGACTCTTCTGAGTATCAGGACGTGAGGACCAGAGACGTCAAGATCTATCAGCGACCGGGGTCCAACATCCTCATACGCCGATGCCCATCACCTCAGTCGGACAGCGACGGGACCTTGGGTGTGCCGCGACGACGCAAGAGGCATCTACGTAGACATAGCGCTGTTGTCGTTACTCATTCACCTGATGATCCGACTCCTGCACCGAAAGAGATTAGACTTCCAACGCAGAAGACGAAAATATGCGAGGCACTATCGAAGCAAGGCGAAAGAGTGGCGATCAGCAGGGAAAGTCTGGACGCAGAGACGCATATATATGGCAGTGATCTTTCCGTTTCCGTCAAAGGCCTGCGACGAATGAAGGGAACCACGGCTCTGCGCGACCCAGTTGGTAGCCCACGACCCCCAACATCGAGTATCAGGGTCATGAGAGCGCCTAGGGCCATGAGGGCACCCAGCATCACTTCAACGGACATTCCGCCTGTCCCCGAGGATAATGCTCCAAAACAACAGCCTTCGCTCATCGGATCACCATCAATCCGGAGAAGTTCTACGTTTGGAGATGACCTCACTCGGAGGGCTATGAATCGCTTATCCCTTTTCGAGGACGCAGATGGCCACCCCGTCTCCTTTACAGACCCACGCGCCGCTAGGCCGAGCCTACATCTCGACACTTCAATTGAACCTCGCGCACAGCTTGAACGGCCCCTTCAGCCCACCTCACTTAAATTGGCGCGACCTGTCTCCGGACCGCCCAACCTCCCTCTCAACTGGCACGCAAACCTGACACCTCGGTCATCCTTCCTTGCCGTCGAGGAGCAGTCCGACTCTGCCAACGATAGTGGAGATGAATCATCCATCGAGTCGAGCGTCTTCTCAGTCCCGGACTCCCCCGTGGAGCCGTGTCAACTGAATCGGGATGATCCATTAGCATCGCACATGGACGTCATTGTCGGCAACATCTTCCAACGCTACCAAGAATGGAACATCCGCGAAAGGGGTGGACAAGGCCGACGAGCCTCGGGCCAACGCGTCAACACCAACACGCCCGACTCCGGTCGTTCGTCGAGGAAACGCTCGCACTCCGACGACCTACCTGACCAAGACGCCTCAGATGGCGGGGACTCGAACGTGATACCGGGATTCAAGAAGCCAAAAGTCCCATCGAACCCATCGAAGTTGATGTTTGCGTGCCCCTTTTGGAAGAATGACCCCGATAACCACCGCCAATGCTATAAGAAAGTTCTCAGCCAGATAAAGTATGTCAAAAGCCACCTCTACCGGTTCCACGCCGCACCCATCACTTGCCCCTGCTGCGGCGCCGCCTTCCAGGACGAGGAGACGCGGGACCAGCACGCGCGTGCACGGCGCTGTGAGGTAGTTAGCGAGGGGTACATTCCCAGCCACGAGGGCCTCTCCCAGGGTCGAATGCGACAGGTCTCGAAGCGCGCGAACCCAAGCCACAGCCCGGAGGAGCAATGGTTCACTATCTGGGATATTGTATTCCCTTCAAAGCCGCGGCCGTCGTCGCCGTATATCGATGGAGTGCTATCGGAGGACCTCTGCAGCTTACGAGAGTTCCAGACCAGTATTGGGACGGATATGATGCTGGATTACCTAGCCTCGCGAGATCCTGACTTCGCAAACGACGAAAGAAGGGCCGCCATGTACGACCGCGTTGCATTCAACCAGCTCCAGGAAAGGATTTACGAGGCATGGATGGCGCGTCGCGGTCTCCGACAGATCCACGATGCCAACATCTCCACGACGCCGCCGCGCACAGAGTCCGATGAAGCAAGTCGTGCATCCCCAGCCAACGGGGTTTCCTCTTCCAGGCGCGAAGACGATCCGGCACAACAGCAGCGGATGCAGACACAGACGCCGCCGCAGCTGCTGCAGCAGCACCAAAGTTCACAGGAGGAGACGACGGCGATGATCCAGCCTACGCCCGTGCCGCCGGATGTGGCTGTGCAGTTTACGGGCCAGGATTTTGGGGAGGCTGATTTCAGTCGCGATGATATGTATTATGACACGCATACGCAGGCGTTGTTTGCTGATTTGAATGGCTTGTTGCCTGGTGCTGGCCGGTCTGAATTTGACCAGGGTGGGTTTGGACCGCCATATGTAAGGTAAGGTAGACGGCTGAGTAGATTTGATTTTTGATGTTTCGTGCTTCCGGCCGGCTCGGTTTGTTCTATAGTGTGACCTTATCGCAAACCTGGTCTACGAGAATGTTTATAGAATAGCTCTCTTGATTACCACTACTATATTTAATAAAGAAGGATAAGATCTCAGAATGGAGTGAGTATTCCTCCGCTGGCTGCTATTCCCCAACGACTCGTATGTCAAGCACTATCACGGGAAAACTTAGGAAACACGAGGGTTTATAGCAAACATGTATCGGGAAACCAACCCTCATAACCTTTGACGCGGAAAATGCTGCATTTAGTTGCGAACTCCAATGAACTCCAATACCCCAGCCTAATCCTTAAGACGCCCTCCATGCTACGTGCTATCCATAGACCCTCCACACAACCATCTCCCATATCCTTAGCCGCCCCCCCCCCCCCCCAACCCCCTCTCTCTAACTCGTTTCTTCTCACAGCAACACGACAGCCAAACAAAGCCAACCATCCGGATACGCCGCCTCGCGCATCAAATCCTCCAACGGCGCCGAAAACGGCACGGGCGAGCCGTGCAGCACGACGTTGGCGAGGACGGGGTCCCGGCTGGAGGGGAATAAGCTGGGCAGGTGGGCCTGCAGCGCGCGGCCTAGGGTCTGGCGGGTGCGGGTGCCGGGGATGACGGGGGGGACGAGGGTTTGGAGGACTTTGAAGGCGCCTGCTCCGGGGGTGTCTCCTGCTTGTGCTGGTGTTGGTGGTGGTGATGTTGCTGGAGGGACCTGTTGTGAGGAGGTTGGTGGTGGTGATGTGGTATCGGTGTTGGTGACGGTGTTGCTGCCGATCCCGGGCGGGGGCGAGGACGGGATGTAGACGCGCAGGGGCACGTTGCGGAGGGGGGTGGGCGCGTTGAGGAGGAGGGCGTTTATTTTTGCAAAGGAGGCGTAGTCGTTGTCTTGGACTGCGTTCCAGAGGGACGAGGTGTCTGCTTTGGAGAGGGACATTATGCGTTTGGCGTTGCCGTAGCGGACGAAATCTGCCTGTTTTTGGGGGGTAAATTAGAGTGTATTAGGGGCATTTTTGAGTCAGGTGAGGCAAGGTTAAGAACTGGGATCTGGAGAAGAAGGTCTGGAGCATTCTTTGTTCGATGTGGGTGTGTGTTCCAGTGTGAGGTGATGACGGAGGAGAATGTGGAAAGTGGAAAGATGGAGGGGCAGGTGATGATGTGTTTGTCTCGTGGCGTTGTGTAAAAGCAAAAAAACAGCTTTGGGATGAGAGACATATGTTCAGGTAGCGTGGAATGGGCATGTAGCCGAGAAGATGGGTAAATTTGATTCTCAATGTATAGGATGAGACAAGGGAGCGATAGTGAAGACATGACGGGAAGGGAGCGGGGGTTCTAGAAACAGAGA